GAGGAGTGGCTGGTGGGTTTGAACCACCAGCCGTCTGGTTAGCAGGCAAGTGTCTTAGCCACGATGCTACCAGAGCTCCCACCAACTAAAATAGGTATGATCTAAAAGGGCCTCAGAGAGCCCTTTGGGGCCATTTTGGCCCAGACCAACCACTATGTCTGTTTGTCTCCCTCTCTCCCTCCTTTTCTCATCTTTAATATTTCTTTCTTGACTGAAGGTATAGAGGCTTTTCTCAATTTTAGTTTTGGGACTTGGCCAGTTCCCATCCTGCTTGAGGAAGTTCATAACAGCTATTCTAAGAGAATGGATGGGATTGAGTACTTAGGTGAGCAGGGCAAGGCCTACAAGGTTTGTTTGCCCAGCTGCTCAGAGAGGATAAATGGGGGATGAAGGTGTATGCAGAGCCCAGGCTCTGGCATTGGATTTGTCTGGCACTCCAGGCCTCACAGCCTTTCTTTTGCACAGAGAGATAGCCTCATCAGTTATCTCTTGGAAGGGAGAAGCAGGGAAATGTCTGAATCAAAAAGCACTTATATATATCTCATTGCTAGAAAGGCTGCTTACGGGACCCCTCGATGCAATGATATGAATCTGGGGATCGTTCCCCCTCTAGAAGCTTTAGAGGGGTGCAAAAGCTTCCCTTTCTCACACCCACTTTTGAAATGCACTGAATTTTTTAAAACTTTACTTAACTACAATTTTTAGATGTTTGTTATACCTGGATTTTATGCCTGAGGCTAAAACAGTAACCGAGGAGAAAAGCCTTGGACAGGATCTATTGTTTCTCCAAGTGAAAATCTCCCTCTAGTTTCAGGGCTCAGCTTATTCTCAGAAAGCTTTCACTGCCTTCCTGTGAATGTACATCCAGTTCTTGACAATCCTCTTTAACACTCACCTCACTCCTCCAAATCCAGATTCTGCATCCTTAATCATGGACGAAGCCTGTTCCCCAGTCCTGACCTACCATGGCCCTGGTTTCCATCTGCTTAGTCTCTGTCCAAATAAGTGTTAACACACATTGCTTCATAAATGCTATGGACAGACCATTTATGCTTTGGTTCAATATTTCTGTGTTGTCTCCAAGTCCTATTTGTACATAGGCATGAGGATGTGTCTGTATTAACTGAGTAACTTGAAAACAAAAAGCCAATGCAGCAAGTTTCAAAACTGGAACTTGAACACAGAACTTTTAACTTCAAAGCTCATACAGTTAAGTATGTGGCACTGGACTAGATGCACCTTTATTTGTTCTTTGTTGTCTCTGAGCTCCTAGAATAGTGCTTGGCACATTGAAGGCACTCCATGAGTATTGATTACATGAATGAGTGAATTATTACTGTAATAGTCTTGTGCTTTGATATGGTCCAGTGTTAGTTTCTTCACAGGCTTACTTCTGAGAGCTAACTACTGGCATGTAATCTTAGCAACACTATTGTGCTTATGGAGAGACAACTCTTCCTTCTAATAATTATTCATTTATTTTCTTAATTGCATTACAGTCTGTAGCCATTCTTTCTCTTATAGTATTTTATTTTATTTTTAAATCTACTGTTGTTGTTAGTGCCTAAGGCATTTGACTGTTGTGGCATTTGACTGCTAACCAGAAGGCTGGCGGTTCAAACCCACCACCCACTCCTCAGAAGGAAGGTTGGGCAATCTACTTCCATAGTGATACCACCTCAGAAACCCAAGGAAGGGTCGCTGTGAGTTGGATCCGACTTGACGGCAGTGAGTTTGGTTTGGTTTTTTGGTTGTTGTTGTTATGTGCCATTGAGTCAGTTTCAACTCTTAGCTACACTAGAGGACAGAATAAAACTGCCCCCTAGGGTTTCCAAGGCTATAAATCTTTACTGAAACAGACTGCTACATCTTTCTCCCATGGAGTGGCTGGTGGGTTTGAATTGCCAATCTTTCAGTTAGGAGCCAAATGCTTAACCATCAAGTCACCAGGGCTTCTTAAATCTATTAGCTGATGATTAAGGATGATAATGATTTCTGGGATCCTGGTTTGTTTTGTGTCTGATTAATCCCTGGGGTGTGGATTTGGATGTTTTACAGCTTTTGGATCTCTTCATCCAATGGGATTGGTCAACCTACCTTGCTGACTATGGTCAGCCCAACTGCAAGTACCTCCGGGTAAACCCAGTGACGGCTCTGACCCTGCTTGAGAAGTGAGTATCTAGTCCAGTGGTCTTTGTTGGGAAATGGAGTAATGGAGGTGGGAGATTGGGACTTTCTCTTTGCCAACACTTTGAAAAGACAGCAGAGTGACTCATTCTTAAAGTTGCCCTTAGGTGCTATCAGCAGTCTCCATCTTCAGACTGGGCAAGCGAGTCTTCCTCTAATAGCCTCTTAATTCTTGAGCCCCAACAAGCTAGGCCATGTGTGGGTCACAATTGGACTCTGACATTTCCTTGAAGCCTAATGGAAGCAACATGTCTTTAGTGATGACAGGAGAAGAAAGAAAGATGCCTTACTTTGAGGCTCAGGCCAGCCTGAGTCATCTGGAGTATGATGATGGACAGGCAGCCCATAGAACAGGTGACCGCTCTGCTTCCTAGCAGGAATTACTGAAACCTTCTCCTGCATGCCCCTTCTCCCTCCAGATTGAACTTTATTATGCTGAGTGTCCCAAAAAAGCTCTGTGGAGAAGGTATCTAATTCTTGCCATAGGCAGTACTAACCAGCAAAGGTTGCCTACTGCAGAGCTGTGGCCTCTCTGAAGCAGAGGTGGTATCACTGTGATTGGGTTAGCCAGCTCTAGAGCATCTCACAGCTAACAAATATGTCAGACACATGCTGATTTCTGCTATGCATTGCAGCCTGACTCTGGCTTTTGCTAACCTAGTTGAGAGTTAGCAGGCCAGAGACCAAGATCCATGTAAAAGGGTAGCATTTTCTTGCAGTAGTTTAGCTCCCAGCTGCTTAGAAGGTGTGTCCACAGAAAGAAAGGTCCAAAATGTTCTTGGGACCTAGCCAGGGTATCCCGAGTGCCCAGCACCTGGGCAGTGTAGCAAGTCTATATATTTGGCCAAATGTGTTTCAAATCCTGGGAAAGCAAGGCACCATCTAGGAGGCCACAGTGGAGCTTACAAGCAGAGGAGGCTAAGATGTATACTTCTTGCTGTATAATATGATAGTGAAGAAAGGGAAGGAGATGGAGAGTATAAAAAAGCAGGATGCTGGTATGCGTTTGAAGGCAAGAGGCTAAGAGCCCAGAGTGCAACTTGCTTCTGACCAAGGCAGAGACTGATGTTTCCATTTTAACTTTGTTTCCCATGGTTCTCTCTTCCAATGACCTTCTTCCCTAGGATATCTAGAGAGTAAGTATATTATTCACTTGCACTCTTTCCATCACTTTGAGGCAAGTCCTTCTGGTTTCTTCTTTGACACTAATGACTACATTAAAATCCCTACCCCGTGAGTTATCCTTGCCCTGGCATATTAATCTACTAAACCAACCTGATGCCTACTGGCTGACTGTCTCCTCTATCCTTGGTCCTTAGAGTGACCCTTGGCTTGCCAATTCCTCTGGGGCTGGGAGTGGTGGCAGAGATTTTTCCCCATTAGTGCCAGGTAAAGGGTTGTTGCACTTAACTTCCTGGGACACTCAATACTCTTACTCAGCAGACCCTAAAACTTAGCCTGGCAGAAGGAAGTATCTCAGCAGTTTTACCTACCTCCTGGTGGTGAGGCCCTTGGCTTTAAGATCTAGAACCTACCTCTCCTGTGGAAGACTCTTCTTTAGGAACAGATTCAGCCCAAGATCTAATCTGATGGTGTAGTGCCTAAGGCATTTGACTGCTAACCAGAGAAGGCTGGTGGTTCAAACCCACCAGCCACTCCTCAGAAGGAAGATTAGGCAATCTGCTTATGTAGAGATACAACCTTGGAAATCCAAGGAGGGGTTGCTATGAGTTGAAATCAACTTGCGGCAGTGAGGGTTTTTTTTGTTTTTGTTCTTGTTTTTGATACCCAGCTGAAATGGGGAACATTTTGGCCTTTGACTTGGTGTTTAGATGGTCATATTCATTATGTGTCCAGTTGGGGCTTGGGGTTCACTTCAGTCAGTTAGAATTCTCAACAGGAGCTCTGGTAGCATAGTGCCTAAGGCACTTGACTGCTAACCAGAAGGCTGGCAGTTCAAACCCACCAGCCACTCCTCAGAAGGAAGATGGGGCAATCTACTTCCATAGTGATACCATCTCGGAAACCCAAGGAGGGGTCACTATGAGTCGGGTCCGACTCAATGGCACATAACAACAACAACAATTCTCAACAGTCCTTTGTTCCTCTGTTCCTGAGATTCTTTAGATCCAGGAAGTAGTGGCTCTTCAATAATAGGCTAAAATAACCTCCCTCTAACATTCCAGAGGCCTAGCCAGTAACAGGGCGCTCTGGTAGCATAGTGCCTAAGGCACTTGACTGCTAACCAGAAGGCTGGCAGTTCAAACTCACCAGCCACTCCTCAGAAGGAAGATTGGGCAATCTACTTCCATTAGTGATACTGCCTTGGAAACCCAAGGAGGGGTCGCAATGAGTTGGGGCCAACTCGACAGCACATGACAACAACAACAGCCAGTAACAAAGCCACAAACAAAACTTATGTATTTAACTCTAGCAATCAAAAGGATTTAATAACTTCCTTCTAAACACATTAGGACCACAAGTCACCCAGATCATTGAAATCCACATCTCACAGCCTCATAGGAATCAGTCCCTTTACCTGATCCATCCTGCTTTCCCTCACAGCCAGCTGTACCACCAGAGCAGTTTCTCTTTTCTCAATCTGGCCTTTAGCAGGGGGAGACATGGAGAGACTCAAAGACCTACTGAGGACATTCAGGAAAAAGAAGAGGCCCCTAAATTATTGAGAGGTGGCCATAGCCAAAGTCAATCAGGATCCTAGTTTTACAGAATGGCATGGGAGGTGAAGAGGGCTCTCCTTTGGTGTTGAAACATTCCAAGGGTACAAACCAGCATGCCACTATCAGCCCTCAGGCACTTGAGTTTGTGGTACCTAATCCCAACTCCAAGCCTATCAGAGTTTAATGGCCAAGAGATCCTAGTCTCTAGGGCTCAGAGACTACCTTTTCTTCCCTTTCATTTACATTATTACAGGAGTTTCCCTATGGGAGCTGAAAGCCAACTCTGCCTGCATGTTCTGGGCTGCTTAGAGGAGTCATAAAATTTATGGTCATATAAAGACCAAAAGACCAAACCTATTACCATCGAGTTGATTTCAACTCATAGTGACCCTATAGGACAAAGTAGAACTGCCCCATAGGGTTCCCAAGGGTGTGATCTTTTATGGAAGCAGACTGCCACATCTTTCTCCCACAGAGCAGCTGGTGGATTCAAACCACTGACCTTTCATTTAGCAGCCAAGAACTTAAGTGCTTTTTCCCCCTTTTTTGTTTCTTTCTTTTTTTGCTTTGTGTTGTGTTGTTGTTTAGATTTATAGCATTCTAGAAAATGAAAGGGAATCCTTCTTTAGGATAAATGATCTAAAATCTGGCCAGTTCCACAAACAAAATTATGCAATTAGTGTATAAGGCACCAAATACAGTAATCATCACAACTTTGAAGACCTCTGTGCTTTCTTTCCAACTAACTCCTGTCATCTCTCCTTCTTCCCTCTAAGCATAGGCCTCACCATGTGGATGTTGATACCTTATATTCAGTATTTGGAGTTTGCTTGATGAGTAATACCAGACTGAATGAAGTCCTTGACCTTAGAGCAGGGAGAGAAATCTCAGTTGGTGGCTGTCATTGTCAGGCAGAACCTGAACTTTAGATATATGCCCTTGTGGGATCTCTGGCCTTTTGATCCACTAACCTCTAATCTGCTCCTTTTCAAAGGGCACCCCACAGAAACCAATGAGCCAGGCTTGGCTGAAAGCCCTGAGAAGTATACCTGGGGGTGGTTTACTCCCCAGTGCCATTCCTTTCCTCACCTCTTCTAGTCTGTCTCCATGTCTTCAGGGAGAAGTGAGGCCAGAGAGCTGGCCCAGCTCCTAGGGGCCATTTTCCCACTTTAGGAAGATATGGTCTAGGCATCATTCTTAATTCCCTGACACTAGAATTAGCTATGGGCTGGGGAGTCTGGTGTACAGAAGCTAGGGTTAGAGTTAACAGTCACCAATAGATGTCCAGCTGTGAGCTCTCTGCAGAAAATAGTAGGTTTCTAGATTGCATTGCAATGGCTTAGTCAGATTGGGGGATACAGTGGCTTAGTCAGATTTGGGGGTTTCTATAACAATCTCACCCAGGCGATGACTCTATTTAGAGCCCAGTTAGGGCCCTTCAAGGAGCTCTGGTGATACTGTGATTAAAGCATGGGGCTGCTAACCAAAAAAGTTGGTGGTTCGAACCCACTAGCCACTCAGGGGGAGAAAGATGAGGGAGTCTGCTTCTGTAAAGACTTACAGCCTTGGAAAATCTGTGGGGCAGCTCTACTTTGTCCTATAGGGTCACTGTGAGTTGGAATCAACTTGATGGCAATGGGTTAGGGCCCTCCATCTGACAAAACTTGGCCAGAACTCCCCATGGTTTGTGCTATAGGCATATGCCATTTATTAAGCATTAGCCTGATCCAGTGATAAAAAGTTCTCCAAAGTTAAAAGGTCTGAGGATATGGACAGCCATTAAAAACTCAGGAGTTTCTTTTGCCTAATGTTCAAACCCACCAGCCACTCCTCAGAAGGAAGGTTGGGCAATCCTACTTCCGTAGTGATACTGCCTTGGAAACCCAAGGAGGGGTCGCTATGAGTCGGGGGCGACTTGAAGGCACATAACAACAACAACAACAATGTCCTGGTTTATCAAGTGGGAGGATGACCCAACCCTTTAGCATCTACTTTCTTTAACACTGTCTCTCTTAGCCACCTATATAGAGACCTTTACCTGAGGTAAAAGAAAAGAGATCATTCAAGGTCTTAGTTTTGTTATGGATAGGATAGAGGAACAAACTTTTAGAAATACACAGTGACTTTTGGGTATTCATGCTGTCTTAGAATTGCTAGGTCTAAATTGCTCTGTAACAGGGCGCTCTGGTAGCATAGTGCCTAAGGCACTTGACTGCTAACCAGAAGGCTGGCAGTTCAAACTCACCAGCCACTCCTCAGAAGGAAGATTGGGCAATCTACTTCCATTAGTGATACTGCCTTGGAAACCCAAGAGTTTTTGTTTGTTTTGCCTTCCCTTTCAAATACTGGCTCCTAGGAGGTTGCAGTAGGGTCTCCTAGATTAGTAGGCTTATGATGTAATAAGTGGGGCTCTGGTGGTGCAGTAGTTAAGTGTTCAGCTGCTAACAAAAAGCAGTTCAAACCCACCAGCCACTTAATGGAATAAAAATGTATCAGTGTGCTTCCATAAAGATTACTGCCTTGGAAACCCTATGGGGCAATTTTACTCTGTCCTATAGGGTCAGTATGAGTCAGTATCAACTCAATAGCAACAGGAGTAGACATTCCCTAAGAGCCTATGGATGATCAGGGCTGTAGCATGTCTCAGACACCTGTAACAGATGTATAACTGGCAGAGAAAGGAATGAATTGTGTGGGGTGGGTATGGATGGGGATAAAAGTACTAGTCCCTCCAAAGCTGGGTTATTTCCCAAAGGTGACTGAATTGGGAGGGCTATGGGCACCAACAGAACAGCTTCCTGTTACTCTCCCACTCTGTGTAGTGGGTAAGAGGCACTGTGTTGTTCCTACCTCCTGTGAGATCTCCTTCCACCATTGTCTCCTCAAACTCTTTGCCCTCTTTCCTTCCTTCTCTGTTTAGGATGAAGGACACTAGCCGCAAGAACAACATGTTTGCACAGTTTCGGAAAAATGAGCGAGACAAGCAGAAACTGATTGACACTGTGGCCAAGCAGCTCCGGGGACTCATCAGCAGCCACCACTCATGAAGGCTGGTCTCAGGCCCACAGAAGCTGCTCGCTGTCAGCCTCATAGTCCAGGACCCAGTCCTGGCTGGCCCTGCATTTGTGCATTCTTCTTCAAAGAGAACATATGTATTTTTTTATTAACCCTTGTACAGTATTCACATAACCTTTCCCTATAGTAAAAGAGGCACAAGAATAAGCAAGTGCATGAGATGTTGCTAGGCTGGGACTCAGGAGAAGTTATTACTACACTGTCTATATTATCCTAGAGATGATGGTATCAGCAATCCCAGTGTAATAAGCCTCTTCTTATTCACAGCTCCAGAGCTTAGGAATGGGGTTCAGGAACATAAAGTGAGACCATGGCACTGGGAGATAAGGTGGGTAGGCAAAAGGATAATAAAGGATATCCTGTTCACTCCTGGGTGCTCCATTCACCACATAGGCAAGGCTGATTCTTTTTGAAGCAAGTTAAAGAAGACCTGGCAGACATTACTATTTTAGTACATCACAGACCAGCATCACAGTTCTGGAGGTTCATCTCCACAGACCATTGATTTTCATTGACTGGTGAACAAATATGACATGTGGTAAGATGACAGCTTCACTTCAGTCCCCAAAGGATAGTAGTTTCTTTAGCCTAGATCTGACCCAAGGCTTTTAGTGCTAATTTTTGTGGGGCAGGATAGAGCTGACTGGCAGTAGGAATAATTGCACACATGACTAACTCCAGGTTACCCTCATATGAAGAGTGTCGGGCATCAACCCAATGAGTTTTGTTGGATCTTCAGATCTGGTGCTAATAGAATCAGAGCCTCGGTTTTTTCCCTATTCATCTTAGTTCCTCCTTTCAGGGGTCAGGACACTTAGTTCAGGGTATAGGCCAACAGTTATTTCCTATAGGTCCTTTCTCACAAAGAATCCCAAATTTGACCTCCTCCAACAGTGTCATTGAGATAGGTTAGATCCCAGCAGCCTGAAAATAGCTCTCATTTTATCCTTAGGGATGAGATTCCTTGGGATTATTCCTTCATCTTTTAAAATCAGCTTTATGGCCTCCTTAAAGGAAATATCACCAACTCTGCAGTGTGGGGGCAGCCACAGCTAGACTGAATGCTTCTAAGAATGGAGCCACTGTCACCATGAAGTAGACAGGGCCAACCATGGCTAGTGGTTTGTTGCCCCTGACCCAACTGCCCTTAAGTTACTCACACACACACTGGATATGAAGTTCTTGCTCAAGCTTAAGGCTTACATCATCTTTTGAGATCCCCAAAGCCGTTTTTTGCTTCTCCTGAGAAATATTGTCTATAACCCTTATCCCTCAAACTCGAGTTTGCACAGGAAGGCTAGACTAGCTTAGCTTTAAGGCTATGTCCACTGTCCCGGAAGGGCTCCTGAGACTTCATGTAGGAGCTTTGTTATGAGGTCAGTTGGGATATACCTGCACTTTTAAGATGCTTTAAGAAGATGCTACTATGACTGCTGGCAAGAGTATAATTGTGCATCACCAAACAATGACAAATACACCACACTGGCATTTCCAGCTTGGATTAGTGGGAGGAGAGAGTCATCAAACAGAATTCTTCACTCCTTTGTCAGCTACTGATTTGCTTCTGGGGCAGGCAGTGCTTCCTCTTTCACTCCCAACCCTGTATGCCCATCACATCCTATCACAACTTGAAAACCATGGGGAAGAGAATATGCACATGAACATCAGCCCTCCTTAAACCTTGAGAGACCATGCTGCAGGTGAGCTCTGCAGAAGCCTGCTAAGGCTCATCCTGAGAACTAAGCACTTGGTGTTAGAATGAAGGGTCTTAGGATGAAGGTCAGAGATGAGTGCTGCTACCCAGAGCTCCATAAGCCAAGGAAACGCAGGGGCTTGTGGTAGTGAGACCCAGGATGCCAACTTCTCCCAAGTTCTGGATTTTGTTGAAAATGGAAAGAAATGACTGCACCAATGTGTAGTCCTGTTGCTTGAGAAGGATCCAAAGCACATCCTTCACTAGTCCCCTGTTTGGGGACAGGACCTGTTTTAGAGAATCGTTATTGCTGATTTGGTATCAAACCTCTACCCTGGAAGAACTGTGTTGTAGAGGAAAAAGTGAATAAGGTGAGGAAACGGGAGTTACCCTGCACCGTGCACACAGAAATCCTTCTAAAGGAAAAGCTTATTCAAGTTCAAGACTGACACAGATGGGCTCTCTTGCTTCTCGGTCTGCCTTCACTCTTCCCTAACATGACACTACTAAGTTTTATGTAGAGACACTCTTGATGGTCAGAGGAAGGTAAAAGTGGGGACTGCAATGTCAAAGTTATTTAAGGTGGTGAATCAGGATTTTTTTAGTCTTTATCTGTAGGCCTATAGGTGAGTCATTCTTGAGAGGACTTGTAGTAAACATGTGTGTCCTTGACCCTCAGACTGCTAAGATTTGGCCTCAAATGCCCACATTTGTAGAAATGGCCTGGAGGCTTCAATAAAGTGAGAACATGGGTGACTGGAGGCCTCTCTGCCATCTGGTCAATATGAACCCTTGGCCAAGTTCTTGAAGAAATCAGGTCCACGTTCCTAACAGAACAGTCTAATTTGGGACCCTGGGGTTTCAGTAGTAATATAGACATCTTGTGTAGTTTTTACATTCATAGGAAAATACCTTTCAGCAGACTATAAATGAAGCTATTAGGGGTCAGGAAGCACAGGACCTAGAAATTGGAGTCAGCAGAGAGTCTCTGTAGGGAAAGGGAGTGGACAGCTTCCAAGAAGCACTTACCAGTGTTTTCATTGCATACTAGGCCTAACAGTCTTCCAAATCTCAAAGTCAGCCTAGCTTCACTACAAGTGCTTTCTCAGTAAGTCCCAGACACAGGGCCCTTCATTCCCCAAGATTGGCATTGGCCATGACCTTCCTCATAAGCCCTCTGAGCACACTCCCTGGGGCCTGCTGTAGAAATTCCCCTTCCTTAGCCTCCCTTCTCCCAGGACTCTTCCTGGTGGCTTTAGTTGCCTCTTTTTTTTTTTTTTTTTTTGGCTTACGTTTGCAATTATTTTTCACTAATGTATTGGAAAATGACCTTTTTATTTTGCACAAATAGTTGCACATTTATGGAGGAAATTTAGGAAAGTTCATTTTTAACTCTAAAGGGAACTCTTTTCTTTCAAACTCACTAGTAAAGCTACTGATGCAGATGGGCCGCATGGTTAGTGGAAAACCTATGTGGAAAAAGCATGTTTATTCCTCTTGTACATTTTCCTCTTTTAACTGCTATTAAAGAAGAAAGCCTATGTACCTGTTTAAAAAGCCACAGTGTTGTCTCATGGTTCTTTTTTGTTCTTCCATCCCTTTTGCACAGTGCAGCTGGATGACAGACATTGCATCCCCAATCAACTGGACTGAGGAGATAGATCAGGCCAGAGCTTGGTGGGAAGGAGAAAGCCTGCCTGCCTGCCAGAAAAGGCAAGGAGTTCATGTTGTGGCTTTGGAAACTTCCCTAACTACTGGGTTAGGTTCCCCCCACCTTACACCCCTCCCTGTCATGTGTATAGTTAACACTGGCATCATTATTGTCATCAAGAGAAATAACTTTGGAAATACCTTTTTTGGTATTTGCACAGTGCTAGGCTAGACAACACAGGATCCAACGTGTTTTGTCTCCCAATCAAGATAAAGCAATGTAGGATTATCTAGAATAAAACTAGGCTTGGGGAGGGAGAAAAGTGAGCCTCTTTTAGAGCTCAGTGAGGGAGGGACAGGCATCATTGCCTGGCGTAAGAAAGGGTGTGGTCAGGGAAGATAGCACAGAGATTGTTGTTGTTGTCAGGTGTCGTTGACTTGTCTCCAACTCATAGTGACCCTATTTATAACAGGAAGAAACATTGCCCAGTCCTGTGCCAGCCTCACAATCCTTGCTATACCTGAGCCCATCATTGCAGCCACTGTGTCACTCCATCTCATTGAGGGCCTTCCCCTTTTTCATTGACACTCCACTTTACCAAGCATGATATCCTTCTCCAGGGAATGGTCCCTTCCGACATGACCAAAGTTGGTGGCCATTCTCACTTCCAAGGAGCATTTTGGCTGTTCTTTTAGCACAGAAATAGCAGGATGTTAATTAGCTAGGCCTTAGTGCCTAAAGCATTTGACTGCTAACCAGAAGGCTGGCAGTTCAAACCCCGTAGCCACTCCTTGGAAGGAAAATTGGGCAATCTACTTCTGCAGAGATACCGCCTTGGAAACCCAAGGAGGAGTCACTATGAGTTGAATCGACCACGGCAGTGTGTTTTTTTTTTTTTTTTTTTTTGAAGCCATTAAACTCAAACTTTGTTAAACTGTGGGAATAGTTTAAATGCACACCACATTAGAATGAAATTTGGCATAAGCCTGGTATGGGTTGGAAGGATAGTGAAGAACCTGCTAGGCCCAACTGGAACCAAGGTGAGTAAGGCCAGAAATGTCAGTGCAGCGATACCCAGCCTGCTAGCCCCCTAGGCTGGCACGGAACCCAGGGGAATAGACTAGAAACTCTTCAGTAACAAGTCTGACTACTACAACTGGCCTCCAATGCTGGAAAGACTGGGCTTTAATCCCTACTGGTGGTACAGTGCCTAAAGCATTTGACTGCGAACCAGAGGTTGCCAGTTCAAACCCACCAGCCATGCCACGGAAGGAAGATGGAGCAATCTACTTCTATAAAGATTTACTGCTTTGGAAACCCAATGGGGGTCACTATAAGTCGGAACTAACTTGATGGCAGTGAGTTTTTTGGCTTTGGGATACAATTTACTAAGGAACTCAGGTGGTGCAGTGACTAAGGCATTTGCCTGTTAACCAGAAGTTTGGCAGTTCAAACCTACCAGCCACTCCACTGAAGAAAGACAGGGCAATCTACTTCCATAAAGATTTACCACCTGGCAAACTCAGTGGGGGCCAACTATGAGATGGAATAGACTAGATGACAGTGGGGTTTTTCTTTGTTTGTTTTTTGTTTGGTTTATGCAACTTACTAGCAGGATGACCTTGAAC